TTTCCATGTATTAGGAATGTCATAATCCCAACTGACGAACTCTATCATTTTTCAGATGGGTGGCTCAACCACCAACCAGATATCCTATGCTGTTACTATGGCCCACGATGTTTTCGACGTCGTATGATACCACGCTTTCATGTCTTGGGAAACTGTTTCTGAAACTGTCGCTGCCATCCCCAACTCGCTGGAAGGCTAGAAACTAATCCTCTTGTCTCTGGCTATAAATGGACAATAACCATAAGAGGCACAAACAGTTATTTTACCCTCTGGTTATTTAATTTAACATAGCCATGGAACATAACCCATTTATAAATGGTTTACCTATTAAAAATGGTGATTTTCCATGGCTATGTTAAGTAACCAGATGGTATATTTTTTTGTGGACTATCAAATTATCAAAGGTTGACCATGCTGCAGGGAATGTACTTTTTGCTACGGAACCAAGGCCATGACAAGGAGTTTTCCTGCCATCTTGGATATGTACTATGGTAATCAGCCCTATGGCTTGCTGAAAAAAAAGTCACCAGGTATAGTTCGATGATTTTCCCAGCTAGAAACTTTCATAAAAACAGTGACTGGTTGGTGGTGACTGGAACATTTGGATTATTTTTCCATTCAGTTGGGAATGTCATCATCCCAACTGACGAGCTCCATCATTTTTCAGAAGGGTGGCGAATTCACCAGCTTCACCGGTGAATTTCACAGCCAGCCATGTTTAAACAAACTAGAGGGTATCCAAGATTAGCTCGGATCCAAAGATACAACTTTGCGTTTGTTGTATTTGCTCTTTGCATTTGAGCACGGAACTCATTGGCACCTGGCTTGCCGCGTTTCGGAGCGGTGTAAGGCTCCATTTCATGGACTGCGTTTTTTTTTCTTCAGACCAGCACTATTCCAAACCATATCTGGACTTTCTATCCCATATGCAACCCATGGTGCTGGAATATGAATCCCAACATTTGCATTAAAAATCACCCAGGTATGTAGGTAAATATACATTACATGGAGCATATGGGTATGACTTTCTGGGAGTTATAAATCAACATAAGCCAAGTCTTGGAACCGGTTGAAACAACAGACATTTCACTGGGTCACCCAACTATGCCTTTGCTATGGCGATTTTTATTCAAAATCTATAAATACATTGAATTGATTATTTATATTAGGGACATCTTTTTATGTACCACATGGCGATTGATTATTTATGTTATACATACCATTTGCTGATGCGTTTTGTTCACATCCACAATCATCCACATAAATCGATATAAATCGCACAGACAGCAGTCGGAAAAACCACAGGAGGCTTTCGCATTCCATCGGGTGTTATATACCTTGGACCAGGCATGATGGTCCCCTCCATTATTCTCTTCGTAGCCACTGGCAAGCGACTTTCTTTGCCAGAGCACGTGACATGGCGGAGAAGCGAAGACTCGGGGTTAACACCATTAAACCCTCACTACCCTCACTCTCACTACCCTCTTCTACTTTCATTTGGCGGACATATCTTCATATCAAGACATGTAAAACATCGCAAGAAGGACATTTCTTTGCTATGTGTTTGAGCAGAGGAGGGAGTCGTTTTTCGGATCCCAGTTAAAACATGTTAAAACCATCAAAAAAGATGGGGATGATTGGATGAATGGTTATGTTGGTTACCTCAAGTACTTCCACTAGAAGTGAATGTGGGTCAACATTGGCTAGGCCGATTTACTGTAGTTGCTTCATGTTGCTTCATGTTGCTTCATGTTGCTTCATGTTGCTGCATGTTGCTTCATGTTGCTTCATGTTGCTTCATGTTGCTTCATGTTGCTTCATGTTGCTTCATGTTGCTTCATCCCCCTTCAAAGAGGGATTTTCGATTTGCTTCAAAATCATTTACCAAAAGACTTTGAGATCCTCTGGAATACCCTCAACATCCCTCAACCAAACATGGCAAAGTTCCATGATCCCGAACTGAAGCTCCATGGCTCGATTTCCCAGCGCAACCCCTCCGAGAATCCGAAAGTGGTAAACACCTGAAATCTTTGAGTGGTAAAGAATCCCATATGCGAAAAATGGTGCTGGTATATTTACCTAACTGGGTGATTTTTGAGGCAAATGTTGGGATTCATATTCCAGCACCATGGGTTGCATATGGGAATGGTAAAAACATCAACCTTTTCGGCATTTTGTTGGTAAAGACAGGACCCCAAAAAATGTGGCTTCAGTAGGGTCCAGTCCTGGTTTGCCGGGTCTTTGGCGATGGTGGAAATCCACATCATTTCTAGATCATTTTCCGAATGAGGCCCATGGCTTTTCCACATCTATGCTAGTTTACCCTAGAGCAACTAGTAAAAATATATATATATACAATAAAATGTAATAATGATAATGATAGAGTAAGAATAAGAACAATAACATGATAAATCAATGATAAACAGTTCTTCAATGAATACACATACTAAGCAATCAGCGATCATATCAATCATATTGATAATGCCAACAAAATAGCTAATGATAGTCAGAAGCAATGTTACTAATCATAGCAATAAGTATGATTATGATGATGATGATGGTGATGGTGATGATGGTGATGGTGGTGATGACTGGTTGGTGGTTTCAAACATTTTTATTTTCCATTATATATGGGATAATCCTTCCCATTGACTTTCATATTTTTCAGGGGGGTTGAAACCACCAGAAGACGGAGCGACTCACAAGAGGCTGGTACCGGTTGGTACGAGCTGCCCCAACAGACTATGTTGGTACGATATCTTTAGAGGTTTCCAAAGTCATGGTAGCCCTGAAGCCACGGAAAGTTGTCGAACATTTCCATGCAAACCAATGGACCAGCTTCGTGGGTCATCAACCAAGTAGGACTAGCAACCTGCGGCCTGGTTTTCCGGGGTCATATATTCCATATTCCATAAGTGGGGTCATCACTAAGCGTCACAACTGGCATTTCGGGATTGGACCCTGATTTCGTAAGTTGCCCGTTACAGAGGTAGTACAACTGGCCATTTTGTAACAGCTTAAGGACTAACTCTGGCCGTGGCCAGTGATTCCCCAACGGATGTTCACGGTGGGGTAAACTACTGCCGACATTTTCCAAGACCTATTCTGGTGAAGGTGGTGACTGGAACCATGGAATTTTATGACTTGGAAAAAAACCTTGGAATGTCATATTCCCAAGTGACCAAATCATATTTTTCAGAGGGGTAGGGCTCAACCACCAACCAGTATTGTTTCCCGATGGGAAATGATGAAGAAACCTCTATGGTTTACACGGCGGGTTGTGCAGTCGACCGAAGCTGAAGGTTGAGAAATATCTTGTCGACATCTTTCACCTGTGCCAGGCACGGATCCACTGGACTGGATCGTCACGACGTCAAGCTTTTGACAGGGATAGCCTCTGGTAAACGTTTACATAACTATGGAAAATCACCATTTTTGATGGGAAAACTCACTATAACTGGGGTATTTTCAATAGCTATATATGTTAAATTACCAGAGGGTATCTTTGGCCACGGTGAACAAACATGGGAGGTTGACATCACTGTTGAATGATCTTAAGGGACTTTTACAGCAAAGCCGTATGAACATGTGCGAAATAATATTAAAAAATGTATAATACGATATAATACGTATGCTCTTCAACATGATGTTCTCACGATGTTTTCAATATTCAATCACCATGCATTTTTCAATGACTCTGGATCTGCACTCTGGACCATCAAAGCTCGCTACCACGAATGGTCCGTGGAACCGTCGAACGAATCGGATCTTGTGTTGGTCCAAGGAACAAACCTCAGCAGGTATTCGTAGCATCTTGAAAAACTGACATTCACAAGTTGGTGTCCAAAGACAATGCAGCAGATGTGTTATTTCCATGTACCCCAAACATATCCCCTTATGCTATGCCCATTGCATGTATTTTGGTGTCGTTAAATATAAAATGCTATAGATTAAGTACCCAGTATTATATATATATACATTATATATATATATACATTATATATATATATCCACTATAGTTATATATCCATTGTAGTGCGTTATATCCATTATTTTCAGCCCAAACAATTATATGATGATCCATCCAAGTTGACAGATCAATTGACAAAGATTCGCATTATGGGCAGCATTTCTCGGTGCTAAATAAGGGATGTGATGATTGGGGATAATAAGTTCAGTTTTTTCCTCATTCTAAGCGTCTTAATGTTAACCCAGGATTAGTAAACCCCCAGTTCATGAATAGGGGGGTAGTAGCAAATTTTCATAGTCATTTGTCGCTAGTTTCAGGGCCCCTTTTCAACAACTCCGGCTTGATCCGGAGACAGAAATCTTCACGTATGATCCAATCGTATCTTTTCGGGGCCATTTGGGTGAGCTTTTTTCAGGTGGTAAATGGTACCAAGCTCCAGTACTCGAAAAAACATATTGGTAGATGGTTGCTTGGCTGTTTCATGTTGAATCAATTCACAGTTTTTTCATTAGTTTCATTGGCGGTTTCAACTGGTATTTACAAACGGTTTCAAGAAGCGAGACACCAACTCGCTCTACATTTTTGGGGTGGCTCAAACATCAGCCAGAAACACATTATTTTGCTCAACTACTCAGCCATGGTTGCACCCTTTGCGGAGCCCGAACGGTGTCGATTCTCCAAACATTAGGCTATTGTACCTCTCCGTTCCTCTGGAGATCGTCATGTTCCCCAAAAAAAATCGGCCAGATCGGGGCATTATCAGTTTTGCATCATGAGTTTTTAATGCCATTGTATCCCCATTATATCCCCATTATATATCGTCATTACATCTCCATTACATGCTGATAAATGTCCCATTACTGTACAATCTGTACATCCGATGTTCTGTCCATTATCTACCATTGTAAGTATATAGCATTCTATCCCTGCAATATGTTGCCATTTGATCCCATCATATCCAACTGTTTCCCATCATATCAATCTGGGCAAATTCGTTCGTGACCGAAGCCTGGAATTATGGTGAATGGATTCAGGGAATCATCCCCTTAAATGGTCTTATTTGAAGTTAGTGAAATACTGTTTGGTGCTTGGAACATTTGGATTATTTTTCCATAATATTTGGGAATGTCATCATCCCAACTGACGAAGTCATATTTTTCAGAGGGGTAGGGCTCAACCACCAACCAGGAAGTTAGTGAAATAGGACGTTGAATCTTGGCATTTAAAGCCTCTGCACATCATCTTTTCTAGCCAGATTTGCAGGAACGAATCGTTCCAAAAAGGCAAAAAAATCAGAGAAATCCCCTTTTGGGCCCATCATTTGAAGAATGCAGATCCATTAACCAACTAACCTTTTTGGGGTACCATTTGGGTACAGGGCTTTTGACGGAAATTATTATTTGAATTCACATGATAGTTTGTCTGAAAAAAAAGACAAAAGTTTGATCGTTAAACACATCATTTTCCCAAGCATGGCCGTGTTGAGCATGCCCAAATTTCGGACATTTTTAAAACCCAACCGACTCGATGGGTAGAAACTAATCACCAGGTCCACCAGCTGAGCCCAGCTGAGCCAGGTGGATTTGGACGATCGTCCATCGGAGACTTGGTCGAGCGATAGCGTGAAGCGTTGCCGAACAAAAAAATGGCTGAATTAACGCTGGTTTATGGTAGATGTAACTATAGTTTTTTGGGGGGGCTATATCTATTTCTATAGTTTATAGTATTTATAGTATCTATAGTATCTATTCTATAGTATTTCTATTTATGGTTTATAAAACAACAAACATAACTGGGGGGGGCCCATTCTGTGTTGGATGGATCGACCAACTGGTTAGATACGATTCCTACTGGATAGACCTTGTTGCTATGGTAAAATCAGTCCATTCACCGGCAAAAAATAACCCTAAACACATTGTGAATCTCAGATACTTGTCAAAAAAACAATTTCAGAGGAGTCATACGGTTTTAAATTGTTTTTAAGGTCTCAGTCCACCAAGAACTTGAAAGAAGCTGACGATCTTCGGAAAAATTGTGAGCTGCAGAAGAAGACTTAAACAAATAAAATTCAAGAGGTACAAAGTGGGCCCCCCAAACAATAGCTAAGAGTGTGTATAACTTCAATAACTGTGGTTTATGTACTTACAATGTAAACACCGGATTAATGGCCCCCCGCCCCTATAGGTCAACAAGGTCAACAAGGTCCCAAAAAAGCACCTCCCCCGAAATAATGTTGCTTTGATTCATCCACAAACGATCATCATCAGATTCCTGTGGGAAAAGATTAGAAAACCAATGGTAAACCATCAGATTCCTGGGAGGAAACATCAGGCAATGCAATGCTGATGTAGCTGTTGCAAAAAATCAAAGTAATTGCACATAAGAAAATAATACTGAAAAAACTCTTCGTGGCTGGGTGGGGTTTTCTAAAGGGGGGGAGCGTCGTTTTATTTGTGGGGGGGGGGGACAGCTCTCAAGGGGGGTAGCCTTTCTGAGCTCCCAAAAACAGCATTGTTTACTGCAATTAGAATTTAATTAGAAATCGATCATTTGGGAGATGATATTTTTTCATTTTTGGCAGCATGAGACGAATCAAAATAGGAATAACATAGGAAAGGATCACTAAGTAACCCTGGAAATTGTAACCCGAATTAAAAAGTAAAAGGTAGTAATAGCAAATTAGTCCCACCAACAATTTGGGGATCCCGGATGGGTTTCGCTAATTGGGGGGTTGGAAAATATTATTAGGGGGAAAACAGCACCTAATTGACTTTAGTATTGCCCCAAAATCGGAGGAGAGAATGGGTTTCGCTAATAGGGGCTTTTTATTAATCCTGATACATTAACTAGTTAATTAATGAATGTTTTCATGATGTTTAGAAACCAACGTTCACATAACATTCGGGGGCCCCACAAACCGATGGAAACCGTCCATTTGGCTTGCTCTCTTTTGCTAAAATAGACAATGTCGATCAGAGTGTGGGGATGAGAGTGTGACCATTTCTTCCCATTTTCGGTCCATTTCGTGTGGTAAATTGAAATAATTCATGATTACAAGTGCACCCCCATGTCATATTTTTTTATCATGATTTCAACTTGCATTGCATGTTCATGCTAAACTGGAACCCCAGACAACTTTGAACTAGTCATGACATGTCTGTAGTCTGGAACTCTGGGAAAGCAGCATGACTCCGTTTAGTTGAGACTGGGCTTCCAGGACTTGAGGACTAGGAGACTTTTGATCAAGTCCACAAGGTGGTGCCCCAGTTATGTGAACGTTGGTTTATAACCCCTAGTAAGTATGTCAATATATCTAGCATAAACCAGTTCGTGAAATTGGAGTTATGAACACACCAACTTAGCGATTTAGCTCAGTGGGGCACCACATAAAGTGACGTTTTCACTTTTTGGGACATGGAAAACCAGCTGGCGACATTTTTCCGATGAAATCATGACCAAGGCCGAAGAACTATTGTCCATTCTTCAAGAAGGCTGTGATGCACAATGAGTCTGGAAATGTTTTTTTTCCGTACCATGGTATACCCAGAAAATTGCAATTCAAGGGGAAACATGATGATAACCCAGTGAAAAATAGTGAGTGGTAATCCCATTTTCAGACCCAACAATTCTTCTGGCGATGGCGGCAATCAACTTTTCATCTGAGCGGCGGCTGCCTTCGACACCCCGGTTCTTTGATGATTATGACTAATCATTTAATAGTTAATAAGTTAGTAATAGAGATTTTAACCACCAAAATATAGGGATACAAGTGGACATAACTATAAAATGATGGTTGGTTGATGATTAGTTTGGGGAGAAAAGACTCAAACATATTAATTGAGGACTCACTATTGTATCACAATCCATTAGGGGAATCCCATTCTCAACCTTAAGCAGATGTTCCCTTCGGACGCCGCCTCTCGGGTTTAGGTTACACTGCTCATTTGAAAGTTACCGATGCAAGGGTGATTGGTCAGAAACATTCCGAAGCATTTGAAAGCTATGATCAGTCTCAACGAGACGAACTAGGTCTGAATGGTTCTGACCAAAAACAATGGTCTTTCAATGGCACCTTTTGACCTGTGTCGAGAGGAAAAGACCGGGGCGACGTCTGCAACAATCAGTTGGTAACTCACTCGAATGTGACAGTGGAATGTGTGTGTGGCCTTTGATTCAAGCCTTTGATGGTCAACTGGTTGGTGGTTTGGAACAGTGTTCATGTCTCCATATATTGGGAAGAATAATCCCAACTGACTAATTTTGTTCAGAGGGGTTGAAACCACCAACCAGTCAAAAACCTTGCTGCTTCTTTGGTATCTCTGTGATGCCCCCCCGGTTTTTTTCATCGTTTTCCTCAGACACTAGCAAGGTGACCAGTTAATCCATTTGTCCTGCCAGTGCATGTCGGTCCCGTTTCACAGAAGAATAAGCCGCATTTGAGACGAACAGCGCCACCGCTGTTGAGAAAAGGTGGTGTTAATCGTTTGGTCCGGATGAGGCGCGTCAAGGTGGTCTACAGAGTTGTAACGTGGTTTTTGCTCATATAACAACTAGCCTGATAGAGCTACCATAAACCAAACAGTTGTTGAAGTCACCTGCTTATTTAACATAGCATAACATAGCTATATTGAACATGGCCCATTGCATGATTTACCCATTAAAAAATGCGTTCATGGGTTTTCCATATATGTCAAATTTCCCACAGCGTATGTTTGCCAACATCTGTGATTCGAAACCCGTGCGCCACCACCTTGTAACTCCCGGTAGAAGTGATAAAAAAACCTAGCCGAAAAAACGGTGATTTGTTACATATAGATATGGAAAATGATGGCCCATTTAGTTCGATGATTTTCTATTCGACATGATGATTTTCCAGAGTTTTGTAAAGTAACAAATTGCCATTTCGGGGTATCCAGTCAATTAAACTATTGGGGAGTAGCATCATTTATATTCATTTGTGGGAATTCCGTTCTCAATCGGCCAGAATTCAATGGAATGACACGTCGTGTTCAATGCACAATGATCACTTGTCGGTATCTACAAGTGCCATAAATCATCACAAATCGCAAGGTATCTACAAGCCCCATATCATTGAAATCCCATGAAATATCATGAAGTCATATGAAGTTCATTGAAATGCTAATCAGATTGCTGTTTTTCTAGTGCTTCTTTCTCAGCCCAGTTGACAACATCCATGACTATATGACTATCAAAACTCGCAGCATCGAAAGCAAAAACCATCGATTTCCAGGTAAAAGATTTTGCTTACAAGATGGTGCCCCCACAGTTACGTTTGCTGGTTTATAACCGTAGTAAGTTGTAAGTATATCTATCAATTTATATATATCTATCTATCTATCCATCTATCGATCTATCTATCTATCTATCTATCTATCTATCTATCTATCTATCTATATATCTATCTAATCTTACCTTACCTTATCTTATCTTATCTTTTCTTATCTATCTATCTATGTATCTATCTATCCATCTATCTATCTAATCTTACCTTACCTTATCTTATCTTATCTATCTTATCTATCTATGTATCTATCTATCTATCTATCGATCTATCTTATCTATCTTATCTATCTTATCTATCTTATATATCTTATCTATCTTTTCTATCTTATCTGTATTATCTATCTTATCTATCTTATCTATCGTATCTATCGTTTCTATCTTATCTATCTTATCTATCTTATCTATCTTATCTATCTTATCTATCTTATCTATCTTATCTATCTTATATATCTTATCTACCGTCTCTATCGTATCTATCATATCTATCTTATCTTATATATCTTATCTATATATCTTATCTATCTTATTTATCTATCTTATCTATCTAATCTGATCTAATCTAATCTAATCTTATCTTATCTTATCTATCTATGTATCTATCTATCTATCTATCTAATTAATCTAATCTAATCTAATCTAATCTAATCTAATCTAATCTAATCTAATCTATCTATCTATCTATCTATCTATGATCTATCTATCTATCTATCTATCTATCTATCTATCTATCTATCTATCTATCTATCTATCTATCTATCTATCTATCTATCTATCTATCTATCTATCTTATCTATCTTTTTTTTCTTATGTATCTTATTTACCTTATCTATCTTATCTATCTTATGTTTCTTATCTATCTTATCTATCTTATCTATCTTATCTATCTTTTCTATCTTATCTATCTTATCTATCTTATCTATCTTATCTATCTTGTCTATCTTATCTGTCTTATGTGCCTTATCTGTCTTATCTATCGTATCTATCTTATCTATTGTATCTATCGTATCTATATATCTTATCTATCTTATCTATCTTATCTATCTTATCTATCTTATCTATCTTATCTATCTTATCTATCGTATCTATCGTATCTATCTTATCTATCTTATCTATCTTATCTTATCTATCTTATCTATCTTATCTATCTTATCTATCTTATCTATCTTATCTACCGTCTCTATCGTATCTATCTTATCTATCTTATCTTATCTATCTTATCTATCTATCTTATCTATCTTATTTATCTATCTTATCTATCTAATCTGATCTAATCTAATCTTATCTTATCTTATCTTATCTTATCTATCTATGTATCTATCTATCGATCTATCTATCTATCTATCTATCTATCTATCTATCTAATTAATCTAATCTATCTAATCTATCTATCTATCTATCCTATCCTTTCCTATCCTATCCTATCCTGTCCTGTCCTGTCCTATCCTGTCGTGTCCTGTCCTATCCTATCCTGTCCTATCTATCTATCTATCTACCTATCTATCTATCTATCTATCTATCTATCTATCTTATCTATCTATTTATCTACCTACCTATCTACCTACCTATCTATCTATCTATCTATCTATCGAAATCTATGATCTATCTATCTATCTATCTATCTATCTATCTATCTATCTATCTATCTATCTACCTACCATAAACCATAGTGATAAGTTATAACTCCAGTTTTGTTTGTTGGTTTATAATCCCCAGTAAGTATAAAATGGTATAGATATATCTACCATAAACCATAGTTATTGGCAATTATACACCAACTTAGCGATTCCGAACTGAGGCACCACCTTGTAGGTGCAGTGAATCATCTAGGAATTTGATGGAGTATTTAGGCAGATTTGGGTGTTGCAAAGAAAATTATTGGATTGATCTGCTAGAAAAAAACATGAACAGTACCCTCTGGTGAGCTAAGATAGCTGTGGAACATCCCCATGAATTATAGGTAAATCAACGAGCTAAATGGCCATGTTCAGTCGCAAACTGTAACAGATTACAAGATGACACAACACTGGTTGATCCCATTGGACAAAAGCCACGGGCTAAAGGTGTGTTCCATCGTTTTGTTTGTTAATGTGATGGTTTTTGAAAAAAAAATAATGAAACAATTTTATTGATTTTGCCCAAGATATAAAATTTAGCATTGTGTTTTGATCTACAACATCCAGGATGTGGTTTTGAGTTCCCTTGTTAATCCATATTATAGTGATGTGAATTAGAGGAAACATGAGCACATAATAACCCATATGCTCCATGTATGGCATATTTGCCTACATAACTGGGTGATTTTTATGGCAAATGTTGGTAAATATTCCATACATGGAGCACATAATAAAGAAACAAAACAAAACACTTTCTGCGTTTGTGTTTGTGAAAGGGGACCCAACAAAAAGCCTCAAAGCCTGTGCGACACACCTCAGGACAACACCTGTCGCATTTGGAAGGACAACTTTTTCACCCCAGCGGAAGACGAGGATCAGTGCAACACTTCGGTATACCTCAGTGGGGGAGGTCTGAGGTACTATTCTTTGCTGGATTTTTGGTTATTTCGTGTGGTATTTGTCTGAAAATGGGTATATCCCCACTTGATACCCAAAAACATCGCTATTTTAATTGGGGAAACATCTGATTGACCAATGGATTTAAGGGTACCCACAATCTTAAAAAATCAGAACAAAATATACTCAATCGGGGTACATATGTGTGCACAGAATTATACAATTATACGTATACATACTGATTACTCCTGGATCTTCAATTGCTACATTTCTTTTGCTGGTTTTGAGATTTGTTCGCTTCCAAAATTTCCATAACGATTAGAAATTGACGCGCTCGATATTTTGAAAAAATGTTCCTTAAGCTCTATTGGCCAGACTGGTTTTTTGAATTTGCACCCGATTGCGCTTATTTGCGCTCGATTGCGCTTATTTGCGCCCGAAATTGCGGCCATGCTTTTTGCTCCAAATCGCTCTCAGATATTGAACATGCTCGCTATTTCTGATTTTGATAACGATCCTGGATATATATGCTCGAATGCCCCCAAAGTACCGGGTAGCAAAAAATAATGTAAGGGTTGATGACCCAGGCTGCATACATATAATATATAATATATACATATAATTACATATATATATATATATGTGTATTATATCATATATTAGATTAACAATGTGGCGGATCATCATTGCTTTGCTTGGTCACATTGTTGAGTGAA